ATATAAAATTGTAATAAAAATATGATTATTAAATACCCTCACACCTAAACTTTTGCTAGTCCTCTAGCAAAGGAAAAAAAAAATTTAACTCACTTTCGCAGGAATCGCGGTTGTATTTAGCTCATACAATAAACCTTTAAACCCCTAGGTTACCCTAGTGGACGAGTTGTAGTCTCGTGAGGGTTTGCAGTGAATATACCCACAAAATTCGATCAACTTGCCAAGTTAAATAAGTCAGAAAATAACAGATTTTTCTTGATATATTTAAACATTCTAATTGAAGCTAGTTAATAATCAAGAAAACGTTTTTATATATAACTCCAATGTAAATCCCCTAGAAAATCTTTTTCATTATAGCAATACAAAACCAAGTCAAATCTTAGAAATTTAATTAAAAAGTTTTGAAAAGAACATGCCAACTCTTTGTTTTAAATAACTTTCAAGTCTCTTGATCAAAAATTGTTTTTCAAGACCATATATACAAAACAACAATATATAAAAACAATTGTTTATTTCTCACTCTCTAATTCTTGGTGATTGTTTTCTATTTTAACGGGCTTTCTAAGTGATCATTTAACGAGTTTTGGGCTAATGAATCACAACATAATTAGGCTTAGGTCATTAAGTATAGAGATACTCCTTGGGCTTAATTACTCAGTCAACTTAGGTTTTATAAGATAGAATCACCTTGAATTTAAGAGTTTTTTTTTTGTGGTGCCCATTTTTCGCACTCTTCTTTATAAGGTTTTTTTTTTAAGAAACAATAGAAAAATTAGTTTTTTTAATATATATATGTGAAAGTATATATAGTCTTAAAAAATGAGTAAATCAAGATAACTTGAAAAAATTTTCAACTCTAAGTTAATCATGTAAAATTTTTATTATTTTTAATTAAAAATCTAAGGTAAGACTTAAGTAAGGTATACTAGTTGAAAAATCATTTCTTAAGAATTTTATTTGGAGTTATCATAAAAGGTGAACTTGGATATATCACTGACTAAGAATTAGAAAATTTAAAATCTATCAATTTGATCAATTATTACTTAACTCTATTAATTTGGCAAGTGACAATAATTTTATAATTTTTTTTAACAAAAAGAAAGAAATATATAACTAAAAAGGTAAAATAAAGAGGAAAATATGTATTTCTCACCCCCACACCTAAATTTTGCATTGTCCTCAATGCAAATTCACTGAAGCACAAAGTGAAGTAGATAAAATTGAAGAACTTACAGTTCTTCGGTTGACAATGATGATAAGGATCTGCAATTACTGTTAGTATGCGGATGAAGAAATCAAATAAGAGGAAAATTGTAAGTAATTAATTAAATAATAATATTTTTTTTTAAGAAACAAAAGAAAAATTAGTTTTTTTTTTTTACAGATAATGAGGTTCATGAAGAACCACTCTTCCTCTCCGAGCGTAGAAAATTCTAAAAATGGTTTCAGACGTTGACCATTTATTTTAAAAATATTACCATTTTTAGGATTTTCTATCTCGACAGCTCCATGTGGAAAAACTTGTTTAACAAAAAATGGACCAGTCCATCTTGATCTTAATTTTCCCGGAAAAAGATGCAATTTTGAATTGTACAATAAAACTTTCTGTCCTGGAGAGAAATTTTTTCGCAAAATTGATTTGTCATGAAAAATTTTTGTTTTCTCTTTGTAAAATTTTGAGTTTATGTATGCATCATTCCGAATTTCTTCCAACTCATTTATTTGAAGCAATCTGTTCTTACCTGCCGAGTCTGAGTCAAAATTTAACTGTTTTATTGCCCACATTGCGGAAAAAATGAAATTCCGTCGCTAAAAATCCGTCACTATTGTCAGGGTAGGTAAATCTACCTTTAGCGATGGCAAATTCGTCGCTAATTTATAGCGACGGATATATAGCGACGGAAAATCCGTCGCCAAAGTATAATTTTTTTACGACGGTATTTTCCGTCGCTATACAATTAACCGTCGCTATATTTTTTGGCGACGGATTTTCCGTCGCCAAAATATTCTTTTGGCGACCGTATTTCCGTCGCCCTATTTCCGTCGCTATATAATTTTCCGTCGCCAATATATATTGGCGACGGAAAATCCGTTGCTAAAAGTTGTTTAGTGCACATCTAGCGTGTCAGTTTTCCGTCGCTAAAAGAGCTTTTAGCGACGGAATATCCGTCGCTAAAAATAATCTGAATTTTTTTTAAAAAATTTTTGAAAATAAGAAATTCCTATACAATATATTTCACAACAATAACCTGTACAATAAATTTACACAACACAAGCACATATAACACATATTTCACGCATATATAACAATTATTTCACTAAAAACATAATAAATATCCCAACATTAGAAATGTTTATACAGCACACCCATTGTTTTTAATGTTAAAACAAATAAACTCAGTCCCGATCATCATCATCCTCATCCTCATCACCAACTCCACCTTGTCGAGAAGTCCCAGCCTAAAAATATAAATAAAACGTTATAGAGCAATACGTACATCATCAAAAACTGAATTTTGTAGTAAAGTAACAAATTATAAAACAACATGGCATGACATGCAAGTATATCAATAATAGAGTATCATGGCATATTCTTACATGTTATATGATTCAGAGAGAGTATCATGGCATATATTTATGTATTATACGCAAGCACGCACATGTTTTTAACAACGCACGCACACACTCTAACCTCACCCGCACACACGCACGCACCCGTACCTATCTCCACCAACACGCACACACGCACGCATGAGTACCCAGTTCAACCCAATCCCCACACTTCCCCCTCCCCCACCACGACCAAACCCAACATCAAGCACGCACATAACGACCACGACAATACAACACATGCAACACCACAACACAACAATAACAACACCACCACCACTACAATAACAATCCCCCACCCACGAACCAACCAAACTCCTATCCCCCACCCCCTCCCCCTCCATCATCATCACCACCACCACCACCACCACGACGAAAACACCCCCCAACCAACAACATAACCAACGACCCTACGCACGAACGGCCCACAACAAAATAAAATAACAACCAATACAACCATCGCTACGCACGCACGCATCATCAACACCAACATCACATAAAAACATTAAGTATATAATTTTAGTTATGTTTCGGAGAGAGATATAGTTTGTGTGTAACAGTTTGTGTGATATCATTTAGTCACATGGCATACTCGTAACTAAGTAAGAATTTTATATTTAATTCATTTAATTAAAAAAGAAATATATATATATATATATATATATATAAATATATATATATATATATATTTATATTTATATATATATATATATATATATATATATATATATATATATATATACATAGTCGGGTCTTGAGAAGAACTGCATCCTGGTGGAGCTGCAGACTCGTAGGTGCTACTGGACTCGTACGGCCGATGCTCGGATCCTCTCCACCTGTATCTGTTCTTCCTACTCGGTCCAATGACGGTCTCGATGATGCTATCCTCCTCCTCTCTACTTAATCGGGTCGGAGTGTTAGAATCGACCTGAGTCTGTGATAATTGCTCCTGCACCTTAGCATGTAATTTCTCCTGCGATATACCAAAACAATCCGATCAATTCTAACACATTTAAAATGCATTATTAAAAAAATTAAATATACAAATTAACTGCTACTTACAGCCAGATCCCGGTTCTGCGCTTTCTTCACTTTATCGGCGTAATTTGGTCTCCAATAGGGAAGACAATTTCTGCCCATACCCATTTACCCACCCGGCCCGCCTACCACTTAGCCCGCCCAAAACCCACCCATTTAGTTAAATGGGTCTAATTGGGCGGGTTCATTTTAATCCACACTAAACGGGCACTAAATGGGCGGTGTATATTTGCCCATTTGCCCGCCCGCATTCCCAAAAGAAAAACTAGAACCCCCGTCAATCTCTTTTCTTTCTCTCTGGCGGCTGAGTTCCTGAAGCCCTAGATCCCTCCTCCTCCGCCTCCTCCTCCGCCTCCGACGCCGCCTCCGACCCGACATCACCCTCTCCCTCATCATCTCCCTCTGCGATCGCGGAGTCAATCCCGAAGCCCTAGCCACCCTCGTCCACGAGCTCTCTTGGTCAGTTGATTTGTTTAAATTGTTCTTATTTTTTCTAAACTAGAGTCTATTCTAATCAAGGAGATTGCATAAATAGATCGGCTATTCTAAACTACAGTCTATTCTAATCAAGTTTTTCTAAACTAGAGTCTATTCTTATTTTTTTCATGAAGTTCAGTTGATTTGTTTAAATTGTTCTTATATTTTCTAAACTAGAGTCTATTCTAATCAAGTTTGGCATAATTTACACAAAATTATGATAGATTCTTGAAGATATAATGCTATTCTTGAATTAAAATTGTGCCTTTTTCTAAACTAGAATCTATGAATCCTGATTATATAGTATTTCTAGTTACAACAGTTATCATAGTATTTCACGTACTTGCATTCTCATATTGAGTTATTGAATGATATGAATCCGGTATCCTTGGTAATGTTGCACAGCATAGACATGTATTTTTTTTCACATATTATTTTTCTGAAATTTGGAGTTTATGATTGTCATTTATCGTGCATGAGCAACCATGGTATTGTTGTATTCCGAATTATGGAGTTTATGATTGTCATTTTTCTCTTGGGTTTCTGTCATGGCCTAATAGATAAGACCGACAAAAGAAAAGTGCAAATCTTTTCGTTCCAGTTGAGTCTTTGTATATTGCAATTAATACCCATCATTTGGTTCCAATTGAGTCTCCTTGATTGGCTATTGTTTCATTTTCAAGTTAAAAAGGAAGTATAGGGCCTTTGAGTGCCATTCAGCCCGAATTAAAATAGTATCTGAATTGTGAAAACGAAAATCCCCTGAATTGTGTGTTTGCTACCCAAAATTACTGCTTTTATATTATTTTGTGCCACTTTATTATGTGTTTGCTACCCAAAATTGATGTGCTATTAAATTATTTTTTTCAGCGATCATGTCTTTAAATGATCAATTTAGCATCCATGATGATGGTAGTGATGATGAGAGTACTTCTAAACGTAAAAGAAGACAAACATCAAAAGTTTGGGATCACTTTACGAAGTTATCTACCGATAATGATGAGAAAACTAAAGTTCAATGCAATATGTGTAATCATATTTATGTTGGTGGTCATGGCACTAAGACAATGTTGAGGCACATGGATTCTTGCCCGAAAAGGAACTTAGATGAGGCTGATTCTTCCAGGAAAAGTATGCCACTAAATCAAGAAAAATATAGAGAAATGCTTGCTAGAGTAATTGCATTGCATGGTTATCCATTCACTTTTGTCGAACATCGAGGAAACCGTGAGTTGCATAGTTTTCTAAATTCTGAAGTCAAGCATATTTCAAGGAACACTGCTAAAACAGATTTGATCAAGTTGTACAAGAAAGAGAAAGGAAATCTTAAACAAGCTTTAAAGCTAGTTCCTAGTAGAATTTGTCTAACCACAGATTTATGGACTTCTTCCACCTCTGACTACTATATGTCTCTCACTGCACATTATGTTGATGACTGTTGGATATTGCAGAATAAGATATTAGCTCTATCTCATGTTTCACCCCCATATAGTGGAGCAATTTTAGTAGAGAAGTTATTTCATTTGTTGAAGGATTGGGGTATTGAAAAAAGAATTTTTACTGTTACCTTGGACAATGCATCATATAATGATGTTTTCATGAGAATTTTAAAATATCATCCAGTTTTAGAAGATCATTTTGTTAGTAATGGTGATTTTTTGCATGTGCGGTGTTGTGCTCATATTCTAAATATTGTTGTGCAAGATGGGCTAAAGGTTATTGATAAATCATTGTCTAAGATAAGAGAATGCATCAAGTATGTGAAGAGTCCTCCTGGAAGAAAAAAGAAGTTTGCAGAGTGCATATATTTTGGTGGAGTGTTTAAGATTCAAAAATGCATAATGGAGGAGATGAAAAGTGATGATCAAGATATAAGATCCATGGCAAATGATATGAAAATAAAATTTGATAAATATTGGGAATACTACAGTGTTATTTTATCATTTGCAGTTATTTTGGACCCCCGATACAAGGTGAAGTATGTAGAGTTTTGCTTTGAGAAATTGGGAGTTAGTTCTGATTATGTGTTGACTATATTAGAGAAACTGAGAAAGCTTTACAAAGAATATGAGCGAGCATCTCTAGATACATCTGTAGCTGAGAGCAGTGGTGAAGAGAACTTTGGAGATGTCCCTAATGAGTGGTGAAGAGAACTTTGGAGATGTTCCTAATGATGAGATTGTTGAGTTTGAATTGTTTGAGAGTCAACTATATTTAGCAAGTAGGTCCAAGTCTCAGTTAGAAGAGTATCTAGATGAAAAATTAGTCAGTTGGAAGAAAAATGATCATTTGAATGTTCTCGAGTATTGGAAAGGCGAATGCGAGAAGCGTCCTCAATTGTCGATGATGGCTCGAGATATATTAAGTATTCCTATTACTTCGGTGGCCTCTGAATCGGCTTTCAGCATTGCGGGACGTGTGCTTGACAAGTATCGAAATCGTCTTCTTCCGGAGAATGCTGAAGCTCAAATTTGTACTGGTTCTTGGTTAGACGGTATTCCTTGTGAGTTGCCTTCTTTTTTTCCCTTTATTGCTTTTTTGTATTGTTGTGGGCTACATATTTTATCACAAAATATTAATATTATTTTTTCTTATTTGTATTGTTGTGGGCTACATATTTTATCACAAAATATTAATATTATTTTTTCTTATTAAATGCAGCTCTAGCAGACATTGAAGAAGGAAATTTATTAGTACATGATTTCAGTAATCTAGAGGTTTCTGAATCGGAAGGCGAAAGTGATTAAGGTAAGATTTTACTTGTTCCATGAAATTAGTGTACATCATAAACTTGCTTTTCTAATGTTGTTGGCTAAATATTGATTGTTGTTCTAATATGTATTTATTTCTCACAAGTTTATGTTTCCTACCAAAAGGACCCTTGGTGGTCAGAACCTAATGAGGGCGCTATCATCATATTGTCAAACATAAATTACTGATTTTACAATAACCAAGGCTTAATATTTGAATCATTCATTTGCATCAAATAGATGCGCAAGTCCAATTTCACAGCAAGCCATACAGTTAGATGCTCAGCTTATAATTTCAATTTAAAGTCGAGTGTTTTATACATGCACTTAATGCTCAGACAGAAGCATCTTTTCACCTTTACCACATATATCAGATTACCAATTATGTTCTATATTTTCAACTTATAAAGATTCAGTAAATCGATGAGTGTTTAGACATAATATTTGTACCATATGTTTAGACATAATATTTGTACCATATGTTTCACGCAATTTTTTTTAATAATGCATGTTTATGAGCTCTGTCGTGCAAAAGCTCTTTCAATAATGGAGGAACTATTATTTTCCGATTTACGAACCCTTTATTACAAGCATACATGTTTACAATATGTATCCCAACATTCAGAATATTATCTTTGTGATATTATTTGCAAAGTTCATAATATTTTCCTCTCCATCACTTCTTTTAAACAGTTGGTTCTCTGCACTTCCATCACAATCACCTTCCTGTCAAGGAGTGGTAGCTTTCAGTCTTCAGATTTTTTTTATTTGTCTTTGATGTTGGTGGTTCATACCCAAGGGAGGTGATTCTGGGGACTCTGTAACATTGTAAATTAAGCAAGAAGTTAGGGAAATGACAACTGTTTGTTTGGAAATCAGTAAGAAAATACAGTTAGATGCTAGAGATATGAAAGTAGTATGCCTCTATTCCTCATTGTTGGCCCATTCATGTTGCGATGAGCATGTATACTACATATTGCAACTTTGGTCTGAAAGCACATTTTTACAGGACTTATATTACCTTTTGTTCTGTCAGCAAGGGGATTCGTCACGTGTATTGTGAAGAGCACGTCTTTACTTTAATTCTTCAGCATGTCACGATGTTGCTTTAGCCTTTAGGTAATAGAAGCTGATGTTGCTTTAGTTGTTGACATTTTGCCATATATTTTCAAACGAATGATTTCGTGACGATGCTAATTATCAAGTATCCATTGGTAGATAGCCTTCTTATATAATGCACTTGAGCAACAATTTGCTATGGTTTGAACCTTTCCGAGCATCCGCAGATGCCATTAGTGTACTTGTTGTGTTACAAATTGTTCTGAGTTGTTTTGGGTTTTTGTTAAATGTGTTACAAATTTGTTGGTTCATATTTTTTGACGTTCAGTCTAATGAATGAAGAGTATTTACAAAACTATGCTCATCACAATTTTTCGAAGGCTACATGTCTCTTGGCTTTGGTTCCTGTATTTACTATCCTGTTTCCTGTTCTCGTAAAACCATAATTTTGTTATATGATTATGTATCTGATAAGTTCTTTGTGTATTTAGCTGATCTTTAGTCCCCTGGTTCCCAAATATCGCATCTTGCTATCTAGTGTTTCATTATTATGACAATATCATACGTTTGTGACAAAATTAACTAATTCTATGGATGATTGATGCAGGGGAAATATTAAGGTCTCTATGGTGATTTCGGATTCTAACCCTTGCTATGAAGACGCACATATGAGGCTTGCTGCAATACTTTTAATGTTGCTATTAATGTTGCTATTGAGTCCAACTGAGTGTTATGTTTGTTTCCTGTTCTTTTCTTTCTTCTGTCATGATCATGTTCATGCCTAAACATTTGAAAGATGGTAAATAAGCGGACAATGGTTGTGCTACTATTTTGTTTATAGACGAACTTACTACTCTTCTAGTTTATAAAGTAATTAAGTAGATTGTCCTTACTAATCGTGATTGTGTTGCTGATAGTTATGATGCTATTTATATCAAGTTATTGATCTTATACAGATCCTTACATACCTTGTGTTTTCTATCTTGATTCATTTAAAAAGTTATTGATCTTATACAGATCCTTACATACCTTGTGTTTTCTATCTTGATTCATTTAAATATTCTCATAATTTTGTTGTTATTGATCTTTTGGTTTTGACCTTGTGTTTTCTATCTTGATTCATTTAAATATTCTCATAATTTTGTTGTTATTGATCTTTTGGTTTTGGTTTGGAAATCTGAGGTTAATTTTGCAAATGTGTGATGTCTGTATTTTTATCCAGGCTTGTAAATGGTTCAATCATGAACTTGTTTACCTTTGTTTGTTTATCTTTGTTTATGTTCCTATATTTGTTAGTATTTTATCAAAAGCCCCAATAAGTTTGCAAAAAGCCCCTAAAAAGTTTACAAAAAGCCCACAATAGTTTACAAAAAGCCCCCTAAAAGTTTATAAAAAACACCCCAAAAGTATTATATACATATAGCTACTATAGTTAAATGGGCAATTGGGCGGCCCGTTTATTAAATGGGCGGGCAAAAACCCGCCCATTTAGAAAATGTTAAATGGGCCATAAATGGGTAAATGGGCAAAACATGCCCGCCCATTTATGACCCGCCCATTTAACACCCAAACCCACCCATTTAACATCCCTAGTCTCCAACCAGTCAGAATACGATCTGCAAAATGCCCGAGTTCTCCCATTCCCTATTTTATTCACATATATCATTAACTCATAACACATAAATTATACTCAAATTGATAACCTAAGAGCTAATATATTATATACCTCAAGCGCCAATTGATGATAATGCTGGCTGAAGGACCTGGAGCCCCCGTGATGCTCGTAAGTGCGGGGCGCATTGCGGTTCCTCCTTGCTATTTCAGCTTGTTCCTGCAAAAGAATGTTGAACAGATATAATATAGAATTTCAAACATTAAACGAAGATATATACTTCAATAATACCTGAGCTTCGGCCGTGTCCCAATAATCGCAAAGTGCAAAAAAATCAACTCCATCGGCGCGCTCGTCAAGATGCCAGTAACGCTCCCAATCTTCTGTTCTTTGAGTAAAATATTTTTTTTCTTCAGCTCTGACCGCCACCTCTTGAACGATAGATTGATTTGCGTGAAGCAGTAAGTCCAGGCATAAGCGTAATCGTCAAGAAAGAAAAATCGCTTCAGCATACAATGAAAAAAGAGATACAAATCAGTGTGTTAAACAAAATAATATAAACTATAAAATAAATGACTCACACATATATATCGCCAACAAGCCACCAGCGCATCAATCCGCTGCGACTTCCACGTCAAATATATGTTGAAGAAATCATGTCTCCTGGCTAAAGCGGCGAGGAAATTGTTGAAAGAGTTAGCAAATGGCCCGACAGGCACGCCGTTCTCCCATCGGATCACGGCCCTCCGACGAATATCTGGGACGAGGTTCTGTGGCTTGGTACTACTGCGGCCGCGCCTAGTAGGTCGCTCGGTACCTACGAAAAAATGAAATTCAGGCGAAATATAAATCAATCAATATCGATAATACAAATTAAAATATTAACATATAAACTATAAAAATCTATACACACCTTTCAATTCGAGGCATCTACGCCTTGCTTGTTCATACCTCTGCTGTGCGATAAGTCGCAAATCATGATAAGCATCCCAATCCTCCTTCACCTTGGCCGGGTCGTGGGCTCGCTGATCCGGAATAGAATCCGGCGGTAGTGGCGCAGCTTCTACAGCTGCGCTATATGGCTCATATCGGCGCTCCTCCAATACATCTGCAGCCTGAGGAGGCGACGGCGGCATCTCTGCATGCTGGGCAGGATCAACGAGTGTCTCCGCATCAGGTGGAGCATCTCCTCGTCCTGTGTCCTGTGGCGGCCCGTCATGTGTAGCAGCGATGCGGCCTGCGTAGGAAATGTGAAAAAATAATGTTAGGCTCGTATTAATAGTTTATAGAAATGTACAGATATAATAAATAAATAAAAATACCTGACGTAGAGCCATGTGCGTCGCCTCCAGAATGTCTACCAATAAGTCTCTCAAGCGCTCTCTTACGTAATCCTTTTGTCATCTATACTTTGAAAACATAATGAGTACCCAACAAAACTATAATACATGACAAAAACTGATACATGATAACCAGTCAAACAGATAATATAAAGGCAATACTATAATACATGACACAAACTGATACCCTAATATTCCGAGACTCCTTACCAAAGTCAGGGTATATACGATCGATGTGCTTCCATGCCTCACCATCAGCAGGATGTCTCAATTTCCCGTCCTCTTTACGATCGGTCGAATGCCATCGCATATTCTCAGCCAGCTCGGCAGACATATAAAACCTCTGCAGCCTAGGAATAATAGGAAAATATCGGAGAACCTTCACAGGGATTCTGCTCTGTTTATTGGATGATATGCCTTCAGATGTGCCCGTATGTTTTTTCCAGCGTGATACATGACACGTCGGACATTCCTCTAGACCTTCATTACCCTTATTGTACAAGATGCAGTCATTAGGACAGGCGTCTATCTTTTTGTAATCAAGACCCAGGGTATCAACAATCTTGTGAGCTTCATAATAAGTTGTGGGGATGCTCTTCTCGCCGCCTGGAATGACTTTCCTGAGCAAGTCTAATAACATATCGAAATGTGTAACAGCCATCCCACTGAGTGTTTGGATATGAAGAAGCCTCAGCATAAAAGAAAGCCTTGTGAACTCGGTGCAACCCTCGTATAACGGTGACTCGTTTTCTTCAACAAGTCTCATCAATCGGGCTACATCTTGAAACATATCAGTAGTGTTAACATCACTCGAAGACGGCACGGTAAGAATATCTTCCAACATATCAGTTGTGTCAATTGTCGGATTGTCGACATCAGTAAACTCTTCCTCTAATTGCATCACCGGAACGCCTTCACCGTGATGACTCCAAAATACATAAGAGCTATCAAATCCATTAATTGACAGATGGAAACTTACGTCACTCCTAATGAGCATTTTATCATTCCTACAATTCTTACAAGGACAAAAAATCAACCCGCTGAGTGACCGTAGAGGGTTGGTGTCAGAGTAGGCTAAGAAAGCTTCTATCCCATCATTGTATCGAGTATCTAGATGCCTTCGATCACGTAGTATGCCCATGAACGATTTGTCAGGAATTGTCCGCATCTAGAATTTAAAAATTAATGGAAGTGAGCATATCCCTACATATATCATTTTAAGTTATAGGACAAGTGTGTGTGATCGGCTGTCAGAGGAAGGCTTCTATCCCATTAGGTATGTAAACGTAGCGTGTATATGTATTTACGTGTGTTCAAGTGTACTTTTATTTCGTCAAAATTTCGGCAGCACCTATCCGCTGTACTTAATCGGATCCGGATCCTCTACTAATGAGAGGGTTCCTAATATCTCCTAATGAGATCTTGGCCTTTGATTTATCAATCAAAGGCCAAGATCTCCTCATGCACAAAAGTAGGCGGGAGATAAGGCCTAGATATTGGCCTTTGATTGATAAATCAAAGGCCAAGATCTTCTTATTAGTAGGTATTAGAAGAGGATTCATTAGGAGAGGATCCCAATTCGTTCTCCGAGTACACTATAATACACGGAGAACAACGAGTAAGCGCCGCCAACAATCCTGTATGCATATACGCCGCCAACAATCTTGTATGCATATATCTCAAAAATAAATTAATTTAAAGTATTATAATTTTTCTAAAATAATCCTCTTCACAAATAAATTATTTTTATTTATTTATAATAGTTACTTCTAAAATAATCTTTAAAATATTCATTTTCTTTAAAATACTTCTTTTCTCTCGCTTTCCTAGTATTACGACACATCATATAACAAAATAATTCAACATCGCCATAATATTACCCAACTACAATATTGAAAATAATTGCTAACAATAATGACTAATCTTCAACACACAACCATAATAACTTTTCATCGTGAACATAGAAGAACTAATCTAATAATCAACTGACAGTATACGTATTATGCTTATACCACATGTATCATCTATTATACTTAATAAACAACATGAAATTAATCCGTAATAACTGAGCATGAGAGAATAACAAGTCCAAATGGGTCTTGCCTTGGTTCGTGGCGTTGGACTTGACGGCGACGGGAGAGAGGATCAGCGGAGAGGGGCTGCCGGGGTTGTCGGTGACGTGAGGACAACGAGACGGCGTCGATAGCGGCTAAAGGAGGAGCTCACGACGGATCTGAGCTCAGGGCGGATCTCAGAGCTATCGGACGTCGGGGAGGATCTCGGGTCTGAGGTAGTGCAGGTCTGACTATGGGGAGGGCGACGAGCGGCGGCGCTGGGGATTCAGGCGGCGCGGTGGAGGAGATGGCGGCTGCTGCGGCGAAGCCGGCGGCGAAGGCGGCGGCGACGAGGGTCTGAGGTTGGGGGGTCGGGATCTGGGAGAGAGAGGGGGGGAAAGAGAGGGGGGGTCTCGGGTAAAAACGGGCGCGAGGTGCCCAAAATTTTGGGCGCCCGCGCCCGAAATTTTTTTCCCACTGAAAAGTTTTAGCGACGGAAAATTCCGTCGCTAAAAACTGTTTTGGCGACGGAAATTACGTCGCTATATTGGATTCACCGACGGAATTTAATATTGTCGCTATTATTATAGCGACGGAAATATTCCGTCGCTAAAATATAATTTTCCGTCGCTATAAATTCATTTTCCTACGGATATATAGCGACGGAATTTCCGTCGCTATAAGTTATGTTATAGCGACGGAAAATTCCGTAATATTGTCGCTATTATTTTAGCGACGGAAATATTCCGTCGCTAAAATATAATTTTCCGTCGCTATAAAGCTATTTTCCTACGGATAAATAGCGACGGAAATTCCATCGCTATAAGTTACGTTATAGCGACGGAAAATTCCGTCGCTAAATATCCGTAGGTAATAACCCATTTTCTAGTAGTGTTTGGAGCAATCTGTTCTTACCTGCCGACTCTGAGTCTAAATTTAGCTGTTTTATCGCCCACATTGCTCGATGCTCCAACTCCACTGGTAGGTGGCAAGCTTTCCCAATTTAGCTGTTTTATCGCCCACATTGCTCGATGCTCCAACTCCACTGGTAGGTGGCAAGCTTTCCCAAATATTAATCTGTATGGTGACATCCCCAAATTAGCCTTAAAAGCTGTTCTATACGCCCACAGAGCATCACACAATTTTACAGACCAATCTT